TGCTCAGAGACACAAAGCAGCAGGTGGGACAGCTGCAGCTGGACTCATGAACAGGTGCCGGAAGGGAGCTGCTGCTAGGAGGGAGCTGCTGCCAGGAGGGAGCTAGTGGGTGCAGGCAGGGGCTGCAGGTCAGAAGTGAGGAGCACTGGTGGGGCTGTGGGGGACACTGACACCCAAGTGCTGCTCAGTGCCCAACATTCTGGTGAGTGAAGGGGGTAAGGGCAGCTCTGATCTTTCTATGATAAAAAAACCAAAAGCAAATGCCAAAGTGTATAGCTACTTAGAATTCATTTTATGATGATGATAGAGGCACTGGTAGGCTTCTAGATTGCTTTAAAACTAAATATATCAATAAAACACTGCCCAACTAATCTGTCTATAGTGGCATTTCATTTTAATCATGGAAGAACATGGATTTTGGATATTTTAATGAGAGAATTTGTAGGGGGAGGGGTTTAATCAGAGAATTTACAATTTTTAGATGGGCAACACCAGGATCCCTGCTGGTGAGGCTAGTGGTGGGAACCGGGCAGAAGAGCCTGTCCAGGGCCAGCACCAGGGACCCAAGTGGAAGGCAGATGAGGTGGCTGACCTCCGGGCCATTTGGGGCCAGAAGGACAGGCTTTGACAGTTCAAAGTGGGCCACTGCAACAAGCACATCTCCCAGGCAATAACTGTCCAGATGGCAGAGTGGGGGCACCAAAAGACATGACAGCAGTGCTGCACAAAGGCCAGCTGTGCAGCAACAGACCACTGGTAGTTGGCCCAGAGGTGCAGGAGACTCTGCTACAGGAGGCTGTGCCCACACCACAGCCCAGGTGCCCACGCGGTTCCCATCTGGCTCTGGCAGGCATGCAGCCATGGGGCCGCAGGTCCAAGGGGGTGGATGCTGTTGCAGGTGGCAGGAGGTCATAGCCAGGCAGCAGCCCCCACTGCCAGGTAGACGGTGCTGAGGCCACTAGGTTAGGGCTGCATCAGCAGTCCAGCTGGCACAAGGGGCTAGTATCCCCAGATACCAACAGGCTAGGCCTCAGAAGCTCCTTGAACTGCTCCCCAGGGGAGCTTTTTATACTGCACAAGTGCTGGCCCCAGCCTCTAGCTCCCCCTGGCTGAAGATCCAGGAGGAGCTGGGCAGGGTCAGTTTGCCCCAAGTGGTACAATTTTCACCGCACCAAAATACATGTTCAGGCACATGTGCTGAGGCACAAAACCCCAGCACAAATTTGTGCCACTGCTATTTGAGCTGCTGCAAGCACACGTGCCTGCATGTGTGGACATGCCCTTTGAGTGCATGCCATGCTACTGATAATCCTGCAAAGGCAAGGGACAACTTCAGAAGAGGATTGGAAGGACAAAATAAGTAAGGATGACAGAGTTTTGCATTCTCCTTTCACACATTCTGCTGCTATTGAAGCCTATGGAAACTAAATATATGCCTCATAATGCACATTTTAGCCCATGTGCTTTGTCAGTGTTTAGTGCTTCCTGTTCCATTTAAAAAGATACACCACAATATTTATGAATAATTTGTATAACTTTTATTATGCACAGAGACTAGGATGACATGACATTGTGGTTATCAAAACTGTACAACTAAGCATTTCCAAAAGTCTTTTGAAATACTGAACACAGAATTGAATACAAAAGGGGTGTTCAAACTGGCCACAGGAATTAATGGGTTCATTTCTCCCATTGGTTGATTGAAAAAAAATCTGGATGAGATTTGGTTAATGTTTTTTTCAGTTTTTAAGTATTAAAAAAGTGATGGGTTTTGGAACCGGTAGGAACATGATAGCTAAAAGTCAACTGGTTTCATGAACACCCCCATGTTTGACTAAAAAAACAGAGCAGAATAGTCACCTCACAGAAAGTGCTGGTGGCAAACCCAGCAGTACACTCTTCTTGTGAAGCATGAGGTAGATATACATTACAGAAGGGTTGGTACATACATTACACAAAACAAAAGGAAAAAATAATTTTACAATCATCATCTCGAGACCTTTTGCAAAGCCCTCCTCCATCTGGCAAATGCTACAGAAATAGCCCAACACAGAAAGTTCTGAATTCTTCAAACAGTAACACAACAGCTGTCCAACACCAAAAACTGTAACAATTAAAGCTAGTGATTAGATAATATATAAAACACAGAAGCAGTCTACTTTTAGTTTAAGTATTTCAATAATAGCGTTTGCATTTAGAAACTGTCTGTTAATGCCCAATCCTGCCATCCTTCCACACAAGGAGTCCCTTTGGAGTCAACTGGTTTACTTGGAAATTTACTTCTATGCATAGGTCCAATATCAACTGTGTCCATTTTAAGCCCCAATTTTGAAGACCTAATGAGAGTAAGTGGCACAAAAGTCTTGAGCTGGTCCTTGGCACAAGGTAGATGTATAACCCTATTGAGTAAGGATGGTAGGATCAGGTGCATGATGAACATAAGAATCAGTGGCTTTGCAATTAAACATTCAAATGCTATGCAACACCAAATGCATTTAAGGAAACTTTTAGTAAATACAAATGGTTGTTATAAAAGTAGAGCTTACATTTGTAGCTGTATTCTGAATTGCAACAGTCTGAACAGTTGCTGCAAGGTACTGTACATTCTTATAATAAAGCTATTAACTGGGAAAACCCCAGGCCTTTTTTTTTTTTTTTTTTTTTTTTTTTTTTTTTTTT